TGGAAGCAGCAACACCAGCAGAAGTGCTGCAGCTGTACGAGTTTAAGGATTTGCTGCTGCTGCAGCAGCAGTAGGCTCTCATTTGCTGCAGCAGCAGCAGCAGTAGGCTATCGTTTGCTGCTGCAGCAGCAGTAGGCTATCGTTTGCTGCAGCAGCAGCAGTAGGCTATCGTTTGCTGCTGCAGCAGCAGTAGGCTGCCGGGGTGTACGTACACCTCAGGTGTCAGCCCTCTTTACTTCATTTGCTTTCTTTTATTTTCTTATTCTTATTCTTTTTCTTTTGCTTTATTTTCATCTTTTCTAGTTTTTTACTTTTTTATTTCACTTCATGAAACTCTCTTTCATTTCTTTTGCTTTTTCTCTGCTGGGGTGTACGTACACCGCTGGCTCGCCGCTTTCAGGTGTATCCGCAGCTCTTTAACTTTTTCTTTTTTCTGTTTATTCTTTTTCACAAAAACAGCTTTTTCATTATTAGTTATTTAGTTCCAAAGAAACATATTTATAGAGGCTCTTTACTTGCAGAAAGTTCGAGGTTTTGTCTTTTTGCATTTAAATTAATTTCATTATTTATAATGCAAATAAAAGAAACCATGCATGCATTCCCACTGGCCTTTATCCTCGAAAAGCCAAACTATATTATCTTTATTTTGCTTTTTGTGAATTCAATTTAACTTTTTTGATTCAATTTAATTAATTAGGAGCTTTGGCACATCTTAAGAATTCCTTTTGCGCCTTCTGCAGCGAGGTTGGCGAAATAAATGAAAGTTTTTGGCAGTTTATTATTATTCATTTAAGTTGTTTTTCATTTACATATTTAAGTTTTTTCTTTTACATGAGAAACTTCTTCTTTAATGCCTTTTCAAATCTGGCGCCAGAAAGTGCGCTAGAAGATGAGGTGTATGTACACCCCAAACATGCATGCATGCATGCATGTGAGGTGTATGTACACCCCAAACATGCATGCATGCATGCATGCATGCGGCGTCGCGGGGTGTATGCACACCAGCGAGCGGGGCAAACTGATTCATTTTGAACGGAGTTAAACTTTTAAATGTTTTTATTTCTCAAATAAACAAAATATAAATGTTATTTAAAAGCCTAAATGCACTGGTTGGATGCAAAACGAGAATTTCTACTTTCACCTGCACTCGTAAATGCATGCATGTTGCCATGCGTACATTCAGGGAAATGATTATTTTATTTTTAGAAGTAAATAAAAGATAAATGCTTAGTTTATTTCTAATTGCACATAAATGAATTAGTCAAATGTTTGTTTTGTCCCCAATTACAAAAAAAGAATTTAGATAAATACTTAATGGATAATTACAAACAAAAGTATTTTGATAAATGCTTAATGAATTTCCGATTGCAAATTAGAGATTGAAATAAATGTTTTTCTGCTTTCTAATTTCAAACAAACGACCTAGATAAATGCCATTCCTACTTTCAATTCCAGGAAAAAGACTCAGATAAATGTTTATTGGATTATACTTTAATTAAATGCACTTTTTAAATGCACTTTTCAAACACACATACATAGATATATATGTGTAGCAGAAACAAAAGCTGCATGCAAAGTCGCATGCAAAGTCGCATGCAAAGTTGCATGCAAAGTTGCATGCAAAGATGCATGCAAAGATGCATGCAAAGATGCATGCAAAGGTGCAATTTAAAAAGGTTTCATTTTTGTTTTCCATTCAAGTATTCTTTTTATTTGCGAAATGCATGCCTATGGAAAACCTCAAATGTTTTGTTTATTTTTCAAATTGTTTTTTTAATCTAAAAACTTTCGAAACCTTCAAATCACTTTTTGCAAAAGAGCACAAAAGCGAGTTCGGGTGTACGCACACCTCCAGCTGTCTAGACACCCCGGCAGCCAAACAAAACAAAAGAGCAAAAGAATAAAATAATTAAATTCAATCAAACAGGAAAACCTAAATCAAAACATTAAAATAATCAAATTTAACCAAAAAGAGATAAATCTAATGAGCTTCAAACCCACTGAGAACAAATCTCTACCCAGAAGGGCCCCAAGGGGCCCCCCTATAAGGTCCCTGGGTGTATTCTTTATGGGGCCCCCTATGGGGCTCTCTTATGGGGCCCCCTTATGGAGCCCCCTTTTGGGGCCCCTCTATGGGGCCCCCTTTTGGGGCCCCTCTATGGGGCCCCCTTGCGGGGCTCTTCTATGGGGCCCCCTTCTGGGGCCCCCTGGGGGGGCCCCACAGCAAAGGGGGCCCCTAGAGCCTGCAGAGCCCCCCTGTGCCCCGTGGGAACTCAATTATGGGCAATTAAAAGGCTGCAAGGGGCCTCCAGGGGCCCCCAGGGGGGCCCCAAGGGGGCCTAGGAGGGGCCCCCTCTACCCTCTAGGGCCTGTGGGGCCCCGGGAGAACTTGCCCCTCAGAAAGCTCTGTAGCTTCTGGGGGCCCCCACTGTGGGGGCCCCCCTGGGGGCCTCGTTGCTGTTCGCAGGGGGGCCCCCAAGGGGCCCCCACAGTGGGTAAGAAGTTCTTATTACTGATATTGGAGGCCCCACGGGGCTTGGGGCTTGGCTGTTGCCTGGAATTGTTGGGAAAGTTAATTAAAATTAATTAAAAGTGCAAAAGTAATTGAAAAAAGAAGTTTTAAATCAAAGAAATGGTGCGGCGATTGTTTTGCATGGACTTGCGCAGCAGAGGAGTTTCAGGCTGGGGTGTACATACACCGCAATTGAATCTACAGGACTTTCCGCTAATGTGCATTAAAATGAGTCATTTGATCTCAAATAGATTAAAATTCAATGAAATAATAATAATTATGATTTAAAAAAGGAAAAAGAATTCCTTTAAAGGCCCTAATCGCCGCCGAGCAGCAGCTGCTGCTCAGGGGGCCCCCCGAGCTTGGGGGCCCTTGCAGCAGCTTCTCTCGGTTGGCCGCGCTGACTTTAGTCGAATTTGCAAATCTTTTTGCAAGTTTATTTATTTAAATTCTGAAAAAGGCAAAAAAGGAAATATAAACGACAGTTTTTGGGGTGTACATACACCCGAACTGCCGCGCCTGCAGATAGCCGCGGGCGATTTGCCGTCTCGGAGCGGCTGCCCGCGTGAAGTCCATTTGAGGCTCTTCCGGGGCTTCATTCCTAAACCCTAAACCCTAAACCCTAAACCCTAAACCCTAAACCCTCAACATGGACCCCACCCAGGCCCTGCCCTCCTCCCTCAGCCAGTTCCGGGATCGTCTTTTCTGGGATCGCTTTTTCAAAGACAGAAATTCAAAACCCTTCGAGTGGTATGGGACATATTCGGACTTTAGGGGGGCCCTGGGGGCCCTGGGCCTCCTGCAGGGTTCAGTTGCAGAGGGGGCCCCCGGGGGGCCCCCCGGGGGCCCCCCGGGGGGGCCCCCCGGGGGGCCCCCAGGGGGGCCCCCCGAGGACCCCCTAGTCCTCCATGTGGGCTGCGGCAATTCCACGCTAGCTAAGGAGCTCTATGATGACGGGTACGCGTTTTATCGAGGGTTTAGGGTTTAGGGTTTAGGGTTTACGGGGTAGGGCTTGCGGACGTTTCTCGCCGCCCTAGGGTTTAGGGTTTAGGGTCTAGGGTTTAGGGTTTAGGGTTTAGGGTTTGAGTGCTGTCTGCAGCTACACGCAAATAGTAAATGTGGATTTTTCTCCAATTGTCATTGAGGAGATGAAAGAGAAATACAAAAATATAAAAACCCTAAAATGGCTTTGTTTAGATATAAAGGGAAAGGGCCTCCAGGAGGCTTTTCTGGGCCAGGGGGCCCCTGGGGGCCCCCCTGGGGGGCCCCCCTCAGGGGCCCCCTCGGGGGCCCCCCCCGAGGGGCCCCAGGGGGGCCCCCCCTTTGACTTGGTACTAGAAAAAGGGTTTTTAGATGCTTATCTTTCTATAGATCATGAAGAGCCAGCAGCAGAGGAGAGGGGCCCCCAAGAAGTACCCAGTCGGGGGGCCCCCGGGGGCAGCAGCAGCTCTGAGGCCCCAGAGGGGCCCCCCAACGGGAGCCCCCAGGGGGGCCCCCAGGGGGGCCCCCAGGGGGGCCCCCAGGGGGGCCCCCAGGAGGGGGCCCAGGGGGCCCCCTATGACTATCGAAAGGCAGCAGCAGAATACTTCGAAGGCGTTTTGGATGTGCTGAAGGATGGGGGGTCTTTTGTCCTTATAACCCTTGCGCAAGATTATATTTTGAAGGAACTGGTAGGGTTTAGGGTTTAGGGTTTAGGGTTTAGGGTTTGGGGTTCGGGGTTGGGGGTTTGGAGTGGGGTGGGGGCAGGAGACTCCGTGCAGGGTTTAGGGTTTAGGGTTTAGGGTTTAGGTGTAGGGTTTGTGGGTCTCGCGGTCCAATGCATGCTAGCGTGTATGAAACGTTCCCAGCCCAGGGTTTAGGGTTTAGGGTTTAGGGTTTAGGGTTTAGGGTTTAGGGTTTGTGTTCAGGTTCGGTTTTTCTTAACTCGCCAAGTTCAAATAGACTTGGTCTTTTGCCCCTCAGCTGACAGCATATCTGAGGGGGGCCCCTCAAGTCAACTGCAGCCATTTCTAATTAGGGTTAAAAAGGGGGGCCCCCAGGGGGGCCCCCAGGGGGGCCCCCAGGGGGGCCCCCAGGGGGGCCCCCAGGGGGCCCCCCAGGGGGCCCCCCAAGGGGCCCCCCAGGGGGCCCCACAAGAAACAAACGGGCAGAAAGGGATCCGGGTGTACGTACACCTCAAAGACATAGTCACCGCTGCAAAGGATAAGGCAGAAGGGCCTAGGTTTCGCATTTTAGGGATTAGGGTTTAGGGTTTAGGGTTTAGGGTTTAGGGTTTAGGGTTTGTGGTCTGCGTGTGCTCCTGCAGACCGATGTGCACGCTGTCAAACGTACCTGGAAAAAAGGGCCCTGAGACGTTTCCTCTGTGGGAACTGACAAGTACTGCATTGGGGGTTTAGGGTTTAGGGTTTAGGGTTTAGGGTTTAGGGTTTTTGGGTTTAGGAGGCCGCAGAAAGAATTAGGGTTCAGAGCATTAGATGGCAGAATGACTGCTGAGCTAAAGCACAAACTACCAAGTCCAGTTTGCTAGTTTCACTTTATGTTTCAGGGTTTAGGGTTTAGGGTTTAGGGTTTAGGGTTTAGGGTTTTAGTGTTGCGTGTTGCATTTTGCGCGCGTTTTTGAGCTGAGCGGTTGGACTTTTTGCGTTTTGTTCGCTCGACGTGATTATTAGGGTTTAGGGTTTAGGGTTTAGGGTTTAGGGTTTAGAGGGTTTTAGTTGTTGCAGTAAATGGGAAAATGTTTCTGCTGCAGAGAGAGTTGCTGCAGCACGCCGCTGCTGCAGCCTCCAAACCCTCGGCCGCAGCCAAAACCCTCGGAGGGTTTCTGTGCAAGTTGGGGGTTTGGGACTTTTCTCAGTTTGCACTGTGGTGGTTTACGAAAACCTAAACCCTAATTCTTCCAAACCCTCAAAAATAAACAACAAAACCGCCGCCGTTTTAGTCCCTCCTGGCCAGGAACTCGCCTGGACCTTCGTCACAGAAGAGGGAAACCAGCAAGTGCGCCGAGGGTTTAGGGTTTAGGGTTTAGGGTTTGGGGTTTGGGGTTTAGGGTTTGGGGTTTGGGGTTTGGGGTTTAGGGTTTGGGGTTTTGGGGTGGGGATGAGGCAAGTTCGTCACACAGAAGCAAACAGCCAGAAAGTGTGCCTAGGGTTTAGCGTTTAGGGTTTAGGGTTTAGGGTTTAGGGTTTAGGGTTTAGGGTTTGCTTCAGGTGGCGGAGCAGCTGGACGTGGGGCGTTTGTTGGTGGTGACATTTCCGTTGGGGTTTGAGGAAAACGAAAAAGAAACAAAAAGGGAAAATGGAGAAATAAAAAACGAAAATAAAAAAGAAATTAAAAAAGAAATTAAAAACTATTTTAATGATTCTTTTGTTTCTTCTAATTGGACTCATTTAATTCAAGAAGCTCAAAAGACTCTCGGGCCTCTTCTCAGGGAATTCGCCTTGGACTCTGAGGTCAAATAATTTATTTTTATTTTTCATTTCTTTTTAATTTCTTTAATTTCTTTTCATCTTTTTCTACTTTTTGTTTCTTTGCATCTTGTGTTCTTTTATTTCTTTTTCATTTCTTTTTTATTCCCATTTTTTTCTTTCCTTTTTCTTTCTTTTTTATTTCTTTTTTGTTTCTTTTGTCTCTCTTTTGTTTGTTTTCCTTCTTTTGTCTCCTCTTTGTCTCTTCTCGTTGGCCTTTTTTGCCCCTTTTTATTTTCTTTTTTCTTTTATTTTCTTTCCTTTTTTGTCTCCCTTTTTTTTCTGTTTTCTTCCATCCTTTTTGTCACTTCTGGGGTGTTTTCTTTTTTAGCTCTTTTTTCCCTTTTCGTTTCATTTTTTTCTTTTTTTCTCCTCCTTTTTTGTTTCCTTTTTGTTCCTTTTTTCTCTCTTTTCATCTTCTTTTTTATTTCCCTTTTTGTCTTTTTTTGCCTCCCTTTAATTTCTTTTTGTCTCTTTTCTTTTCCCTTTCATTAATCTCCTTTTTTGTTTCTTTTTTGTTTTTTTTGTTTCTTTTATGTTTCTTTTATCCCTTTTTATTGATTCTTTTCTTTCTTTTTATTCTTTTTTCCCTTTCTATATCTTTTTAAATTCCTTTTAATTAATTTCACTTTTTTATTTTTTGCAACTTTTCCACTTTTCATTCTTTCTTTTTTAAAGCATAAAGTGGCAAATTTAATTTCTTTTTTTTAAATTTAAAATTCCGTCTTTTGCAAAAAGCAAAAACACCACATCCAACAAATCCCGAAGTCATTTTAATTCTTTTCCTTTCTTTAATTCTTTTTCTTTTTAATTCCTTTCCTTTTTAATTCTTTCCCCTTTTAATTCTTCTTCCTTTTGAATTCTTTTTATTTTTAATTCTTTTCTTCGAGTTCTTTCTCTTTTCCAGTTCTTTTTCTTTTCTAACTCTCTTTCTTTCACTTCACTTCCCTTCACTTCTTTTTCTTCCAATTCTTTTCTTTTTTTAATTCTTTTTTTTTATTTTCAGACTCCAATTCCCATCATGACCATGGGAGACCAAGTCCCTGTCAGGTCCATTTTACTTCGACAACATTCTTCTTTTTCTGGACAAATTCTCGTCAGAGATGTCCAGGACACAACCCTTTTAGGGGACTCGAGTTCTTCAGGGGGCCCCCCTGGGGGCCCCGCGGGCGCAGAAGGAATGGCAAGAGTGGTGTTGGGAAAAGAGATAAACATAAAAACCACCAAAAGCTCATGAGACAACTCATCTTCTCTTGCAACCCTAATGTGCTCCAGTCGGAACTCAAAGTCCGCATTTAGGGTTTAGGGTTTAGGGTTTAGGGTTTAGGGTTTTGGGCTTTGGGGGAAGGGTTTAGGGTCTAGGGTTTAGGGTTCGGGGGACACGTGCAGAGCGTGCGGCTTTGCAACCTCCCAGGGTCTAGTGTCTGGGAACTAGGGTTTGGGAACGGGGTTTAGGGTTTAGGGTTTAGGGTTTAGGGTTTAGGGTTTAGGGTTTAGGGTTTGTATGCAGTTGAGGGTACCCAA